AAAATTTTTTTTTTTTTAAAAAAAAAGAGAGCTTGCAGGGCCGCACTCACAGAGCTCCGGTGGACTCCCAGAGTGGCTGAAGAAAACCCCTCCTACAGAGCCTGCCACGTTCTGGCCCCCGTCTCCTCCTTGCCCTGGTGTCCCTTGCTGTCCTGCCTGCTTCCACTGTCCTGACCACACTGACCTTCGCTCTGGGAGCTCTCAGCTGGCTTTGGATGTTCCACCACCTGCTGCATCACTTTATTCAGGAGGTGTCTCAGCAGTGACTCCTGGTGGCTGGATCCAGTGGCCCTTCTCAGTCTTCACTACTTCACATTCTCAGTTTTCGCCTATTGTTATTACTTGGGTTCATTATAGAAACACTAGGTTCTTGCTGTTTAAAATAGAAGGGACAGAGGGTGTAAAAGAAAATGACTTGCTTTCATCTTCATGTCTGTAGAGGTCAGCATGGAGAGTTTATACATATGCCTAGATTTTATTCACACGGACGGGCTCATCCGCGTTGGTTCTGCTTGCTCTGTTCACTTAGCGGTAGACTGTAGTCCTCTCCCCACACGTAGTGCGTTTGTCTCCTATTAACAAGGGTGTTAGTCACATGTTGCTGCATAACCACCCCCAAATTTAGCTGTTATTTCTGTTGCCGTCAAGGAACTGTTTGCTTGTGGAGATGAGATGTACACAAATATGTGTAATCCAACATTAATTGTAGCAAGTGACTACACGCGATAGGAGTCCAGAGAAGGGGAGGGTTCGCGGGAACGGTCCTGCTTTGTGTGTCTAGCCTCTTGTCACTGGAGGCATTTGTGCCAAGACCATTAGGGGTTCTTGGGAAGAAGCTGCGGTATGAGGGCAGGCATCCCTTGACGGGATAACCAGCAAGCCTGGACACGTGGAAGCTGACAGACATTCTGGTTTGAAATCTGGCCCTGTAATTTACGCGCTCCCAAGTAATTAGCTTTTTAAAGTCTCTTAAACTTTCCCATCTATAAATTGGGAAGACTAACATCCACCTCATAGGATTGTGAGTGCTGCTGAAAGACTATGTGATGCAGCAGGTGCACAGCGCACCAAGCGCACCAAGTTTCTTGGGAGTTTTTCGTGGTGCCTCCAGGCCAAAAGTAGTAATACCTGCTCGGTCTGTTTATTAGGTAGTTACATTCAAGCCACTTAGTGACTATATAGTCCAAATAACTTAGTAGCTTTTTGAAAAAATAACATGTAAAAATGGAAGGAAAATTAACATAGTGGTATTTCATTCTTAACTGATCACACGAATGGGATTTGTATGCCTATTGGATCAGATTGACCCTGCCGTTCTCATTTCCTGTTCCACATTCATTTTTGCATGGGATTTACTTACAGCAACGGCTAAAAACCCAGTTTTGTAAAAATATGACACCATCAAAAGGTGATTTAATATTGAAACCATGAATTTTCTCAGGCTGGAAGTCCCTGCAGTGTTGGACGGGTGGCAAATGTTATATGTTCCCTTAAATTCAAAATAGCCTTTGATGCCTTTGTGAGTTTAGTGCTTTGTTCTGGGGTCTTTGGGAATTTAGGATACAGTAAGCACTCACTACCTTACAGCTATTCTAATTGTTGCTATTGTGTCATCGTAGCGATTAATAATGTTAATTAAATTCTCTGGTTCCAGACTTGACAATTATTTAGTAATTTTTATTTATGTTTTTGATACGCTTAATAATGAATTTACATTATAGCATAACATGTTTGAGTAGCTCAATCTCTGATTAAAATCTGAGTTTGAAAGATTGAGTGTTGAATATTTGTTGTATTTTCTGTTTCAGTACCTCACCAGTAACAGATGTGGCAAATATGTGGACACTGGAGTTTTAGCATCTGATTTACAAAGAATGTACAGGTAAAGAGATGTAGTCTCCAGATTCTTGCCTTTCTTTCCTACCATTTTGAGTTTCCATCTCGCCCAAATTTTCAGTTGATATTATCGCTGCTGGCATTAGTTCACCAGTCCATAGGTTCAGAATTCAGTTATACAAAGATTTATCAGGTACCTGTTATGTGCAACATGCTGTCCTTGTTACTAAGGGCAATGGCTGCTGCTTCTCTTTCAGTACCTTCCAGACTGGTCAGCAGTATGGCCTCTTCTCGTATCTCATTAAAGGATTAAAACCAGTAGGCATGGTCTGCCTGAGCTTCCTGGCTACTTTGAAACATCTCTAGGCTTCCTACTAAAGATTCCGTTTTTCTCTTGTGTCTCTAATCCCACCCCTCCTGATAGGTCCCTCCGTTAATTATTACCACTTTGTATATTTCAAAGTCTCCTGTTTTTTCTTCTCAGTATATTAGTTTGCTAGGATTGCCATAAAAAAGTATCAGAGGCTGGGGAGCTTAAACAATAGAAGTTTAAGTCCTCACAGTTGTGAATGCTAGAAGTTAATGGTCACTGTCTCCCTTGCATTGCAGATGGCTATCTTCTCCCTGTGTCCTAACATGGTCTTTCCTTTGTGTGTCTGTCTGTATTCTAATCTCTTCTTGTGTTATTATTTTTTTAAGATTTTGTTTTTAGGGGCGCCTGGGTGGCTCAGTCGGTTAAACGTCCGACTTCGGCCCAGGTCATGATCTCACACTTTGTGAGTTTGAGCCCCGTGTTCGGGCTCTGCACTGCCAGCTGGAAGCCTGGAGCCTGCTTTGGATTCTGTGTCTCCCTCTCTCTCTGTCCCTCCCCAGCTCATGCTCACAGTTTGTCTCTGTCAAAAATAAATAAACTTAAAAAAATAAAAATTAAAAAAAAAAATTTATTTTTAAGTAATCTCCATACCCAAAGTGGGGCTCAGACTCACAACCCTGAGATCCAGAGTCAGGCGCCCCTCTTATTCTGGGGTGCCTGGGTGCCTCAGTCAGTTAAGTGTCCAACTCTTGATTTTGGCTCAGATCATGATCTCATGGTTCATGGGATTGAGCCCCGTGTCAGTCTCTGTGCTGGTACTTTGGGGCCTGCTCGGGATTCTTTCTCCTCTTCTCTCTCTTCCCCTCTCCAGCTTGCACTTACTCTCTCAAAATAGAATAGAATAGGATAGAATAAGATAAAAGTCATGTAACTCCTCTTATCCTGATTACAATACCAGTCGTATTGGATTAATTTGCTTCAGTGCTCTGTCCTGTGGGCCCACTAGGATGGCTGCCCTGCCCTGCCCTTTGGAACCGAGGAGACCGTGCCACTCCCCGGGCCCATGCCGCTCCCCGGGCCTGTGCCCCCTGGGCCGATGGTGGTGGTGGAAACCCTGCCAACCTCTGAGCTTCCTTCTGAGGCGTTCATCCCTTTTCTTGAAGGATAACACATGTCTACAGCTGGATGGCCGCTCTCCTGTAGAATCCCAGAAGTCCAGCCACCTTCCTTCATTTCATCCTCCCTGTCTCCTCCAGTACAAGCTTCCGGGGTTTCTGATGCTGTAACCCCGTCTCTAACCAAAAAAAATTACAGTAGTGAAAATGTAAACTCAGAAGTTCCTCAAAACTAAGCTTATGGTCGGTGTGAATTCAGTGACAGTTATATATTCATGCAAATTAATGGGATCAATTTAGATTGGTTTTAACGGGAAAATGTTGGTGGAGACCATTGTACTAAGCTTCTTGTTCTGTTTTTCAGTATAGACTATGGTCGAAGAAAAAGAAATGCTTTTAGGATTCAGGTAGAAAAAGGTGAGTCTTTTAGTGTTAGAGCTGAATTATTAATGAAGTTAAAGAATTGTTTTAGCTCACAACTACTTCTTTTTGTTTCAGTATTTAGCGTAATTACCAGTGAGAAAGAACCTAAGGATCTAACAGAATTAGAAGATGAGCATCTGGCCAAAAGGGCAAGACAAGGTGAAGAGGAGAACGAGTAAGGATTACAGAAAAGGGGGTGACTTGAAAACCATGAACCTGATCACATACATTGCCAGTCGTGAAATTTTCCGTGGCTTTTCCTTGCCAGCGAGGCTGTGCAGAATACCTGACCTCTCCAGACCTTTGCTTTGGGCACACTGAATGCTCACTATTGCCCAGAGAGGTTGGATTCTTTCTTTGTGCCTTTGTATGAGTGGTTTTCTGTAGCTGGAGGGTTCATTCCCATTAGGAACTCCCACTCCGCTTTCAAGAGGCCACATTAGTGCCTTTGTGGGGCCTTGGCTTCCTGAGTATTTCCTTAGCTCCTGGTTACAGATCTTTGTTATGATGCTTATCATACGGCTTGAGGTTGTTTGTATTGAGAGTTTTTATCATGAATCAATTTTACATTTGTTAAATACTTTTTTTATTTTTTTTTACATTTTATTTATTTTTGAGAGAGAGAGAGAGAGAGAGAGAGAGAGACAGAGCACAAGTGGGGGAGGGGCCGAGAGAGAGGGAGATACAGAATCTGAAGCAGGCTCCAGGCTCTGAGCTGTCAGCACAGAGCCCGATGTGGGGCTCGAACCCACGAACTGTGAGATCATGACCTGAGCCGAAGTCAGTTGCTTAACTGACTGAGCCACCCAGGCGCCCTGTTAAATACGTTTTATGCACTTAATGAAAGATTCTGTTATGGTTGTCTCCCTTTGTTCTGTTGGTGAATTACATTAATTTTTGAGTGCTAAGCCAGTCTTGTATCCTGGGATACACCCAACTTGGTCCAGATATATTATCCTTTTTTATATATTATTAAATCATTTTGCTAATCATTTTTGGAGATGGTTATGTTTGTATTCATAATGGTCTGAATTTTTTTCTTTTTTGCAGCGTCTTTGTCAGGTTTTGGTGTTAGGGTTATTCTGGCTTCATATTGTTTGGAAAATGTTTTTTGTCTCTATTTGACAAAAAAATTAGTATAATGTTACTGTTACTGCTTTCTTAAATAGTTTGTTAGAATTCATCTCAGCCTGGAGGCTTCTTTTTGGAAAGGATTTAGATAACAGTTTTGTTAGACAAAGAACTCTTCCTATTTTTCTGCTTCTATCAGCTTTGGTAAGTTGTACTTTTAAAGAAAGTTGCCCATTTCATCTGAAGTGTGGAATTTATTGGCTTAAAGTTTTCAAGATATCCTCTCGTTTTTCCTTTTTTTTTTAATTTTTTTTTTCAATGTTTGTTTATTTTTGAGAGACAGAGCGTGAGTATGGAAGGGACAGAGAGAGGGAGACACAGAATCTGAAGCAGACTTCAGGCTCTGAGCTGACAGCACAGAGCCCGACGCGGGGCTTGAACCCGCGAACCATGAGATCATGACCTGAGCCGAAGTCGGACTCTTAACCGACTGAGCCACCCAGGCACCCCTCGTTTTTCTTTTAATGTTTATAGGATCTGTGGTGATCGCTCCTTTTCACCTTATAGCTGCATTGCTGCCTTTTCGTTTGGATTTACCATTATTTTCTTAACTAGTTCCACACTCGTGGACAGTTGGTTGTTTCCAGTTTTGCACTATCGTACACACAGTAAATAATCCTGCAGCACATATATCTTTGTATATGTTTTTTTTTTTTAATGTTAAATTCTTGAAGTGGTATTGCTGGGGTCAAAGATGTCTTTTTCAGAATTCTGTTACATTTGGAGTTCTTTTCCCAAAAACGTTGCCTCAGTTTATATTCCCAGCAACTTTGTATAAAGACTTCAGGGTGCCTGGGTGACTCCGTTGGTTGAGCGTCTGACTCTTGATTTAGGTTCAGGTCATGATCTCGCGGTTTGTGGGTTCAAGTCCTGCTGACAGTGTGGAGCCTGCTTGGGATCTTCTCTTCCTCCCTGTCTGCACCTCCCTTTGCTGTCTTTCTCTCTAAATAAATAAATAAATAAATAAACTTAAAAAAAAAAATAGAGTGCGTTTCTCTGTACCTTTGCAATTCTAGTTACACTGTTATGTAATCTTTGCCAGCTTCCTAGGCAAAAATTGATGTTTTTATTTGTAGTTTTTTGATAACTAGTGAGATTAAAACTTTTTGACTGTTTCATGTTTCCTTTGTTAGTTGCTTGCTTATGGGTTTTGTCTGTCATATGAGAGCTGACTCTTGGTTTGGGCTCAGGTCATGATCTTGCAGTTCTGTGAGTTCGAGTCCTGCTTTGGGCTCTGCTCTGACACTTGGGATTCTGTGTGTGTGTGTGCGTGCGTGTGTGCTTTTGTATGTCTCAAAAATAAACAAACAAACTTTAAAAAATAAAAAAGTGTCTTTTGGTTAAGAAGTTCTGCATCTTTACCTAGTCAGATATGTCAGTCTTTTCCTGTATGGTTTGTGCTGAAATACTCAGAAAGACGTCTCACAACAATATGTGGAATCCTTATTTCTTTATAGCATTCCATTTAACTCTTTAATCCATTTTGTAGGGTATAAATTGTAAGGCAAAATTATTTCTTTTCCAAATAGTTGAATAATCCACCTTCTTTACATTGATTAGAAACGCCCAAAAGTATATTAATAGAATTTTATGAGTAGCAAAAGAATTCATGTCTTAATTATAAAGATGGTTCATGTCATGCATGTAAACTTTTTAATTAGGAAGAGTCCTTTTTTTATTAATTATTTTCTAAAGAAACACCATTGAACAGTAGCAGGGTCCATCACCTCTGGGTTATAATGAGCTGAGCCTGCACTACAGTTTGTAGTTAATAGGATTTATCCCTGTTTCTCATGCATCATATGAAAATCTCTCCTACCTTCATTTCTCATGGGCAGACTTGGGAAAGCTACCCTGGTCACACAGATGGGTCATGTTGAATTTGTGAATTTGTTGCTCAGTTACTTGCTGGAATATTTCCTTTTGTTGGCATCTGATGTTCCTAATGAGACCTTTGGGTCTGATAGGACTCTGCACTTCACTTTTATTTATTGTGTGCATTAAAATAACCACAGTTTTGGGGCACCTGGGTGGCTCAGTCGGTTGGGCGTCCGACTTCGGCTCAGGTCACGATCTCGCGGCCCGTGAGTTCGAGCCCTGCGTCGGGCTCTGTGCTGACCGCTCAGAGCCTGGAGCCTGTTTCAGATTCTGTGTCTCCCTCTCTCTGACCCTCTCCCGTTCATGCTCTGTCTCTCTCTGTCTCAAATATAAATAAACGTTAAAAAAAAAATTAACCACAGTTTTTAAGCATTTACGTGTATTCTAAGGACTTTGTCAGCTTGTTTAATCCTCTACTGACTCAGAGATGTGAACGTTACATGTTATCTTCTCTTTATAGATAAGAAAGCTGATGCTCAGAGAGGTTAAGTAGAAGCTAGTAACCAGTAACCAGAATTCTCAGATCGCAAAGCCTTGGGCTCTTAAGCACCATAATACTTTGCCTTAGTAAATTTTTTGTTTGGGGTAGTAATTTTTTTTAGGATGTGGGAGCAAAGCCTTTAAAATGTTTCTTTTCCTCTTCTTACTGAGGTATACTGAAAGCTCTTCAGATCATGATTCAAATATGGAAGATTACCCAGATCCACAGGTAAGCCAAACATTTAATGGACCCACTTTTATTTTTTTTTAGTCATTATGAACCCTCCTTAAAAAAAAAAAAGTGTGGAATAGAATAAGAGATTTAAACATCATCATCAAGGGGCACCTGGGTGATCAGTCAGTTAAGCGTCCCGAATTCGGCTCAGGTCATGATCTTGCGGTTTGTGAGTTTGAGCCCCACATCGGGCTCTGTGCTGACAGCTCGGAGCCTGGAGCCTGCTTCGGATTCTGTGTCTCCCTCTCTCTCTGCCCCTCCCCTGCTCACCCTCTGTCTCTCTCTGTCTCAAAAATAAATAAAACATTTAAAAAAAATTTTTAAACATCTTCATCAATACTTTTGTGGACAGTGTTGAGGAGTCCTTGGGAAGGCCATCCTTTCAGTATTTGTGTTTATGGCCTGTTTTATAGGAAGAAGAAGGGAAGAGAATGGCCTGAAATAAGGGTACACAGGAATAGAAAGGGGAATTAATAGTAAAAATTGAGAAAAGGATACATTTTCTGCTAAAGGGCTGCGGTTGCCAATAAGTAAGGTTGCATTTAAGAGACATATTTAAGTGATTCCAGATGATTTATAACTTACTCTCTTTTATTCCCATTGGTAATTCCATTTTTTTGATTTATTGACAAAATCAGGATGATAATGACATGTGATCTGGTTTTGAGTTGATGAGATAATAGTGGCTCTTCTTGGCCAGCTCATTGTCAAGCCCAGTTCTGTTATATGTTTTAATAGTTCATTATTTATTTTGAGAGAGAGAGAGAGTGAGCAGGGCAGAGGTGGAGAGAGAGAATCCCAAGCAGTTTCCACGCTCAGTGAGGAGCCGGATGCAGGGCACAAGCTCACAACCGCGAGATCATGACTTGAGCCAATATCATGTGTCAGAGGCTGAATCGACTAAACCACCCAGGGGCCCCCAATTCTGTTATATTTTTAATTTTTTTTTTTTAACGTTTATTTATTTTTGAGACAGAGAGAGACAGACCATGAGCAGGGGAGGGGCAGAGAGAGAGGGAGACACAGAATCCGAAACAGGCTCCAGGCTCTGAGCTGTCAGCACAGAGCCCGACGCAGGGCCTGAACTCACGGACCGTGAGATCATGACCTGAGCCGAAGTCGGACGCTCAACCGACCGAGCCACCCAGGCGCCCTGCCCCCTATGTTATATTTTTAAAAAGCGAGCACGCTTCCTCGGTTTTCTTTAACTTTCATTTATTAAGTGGCGGTGAAGCGGGGGCACATCTGTTTGAACAGGAAATGTTGGTGAAGCATCTGTCAACACCCGTGTTTTCTGACTGGAAGTGCTGTGAGGGAAGCTGCTGGTGGCTGCTCGTGCGGGTAGCCCGTGTCCGTGCGCGCCAGCGCGGTGACGTAGGCGATGTCGTGTTTCTGCCAGGCGGCAAATCACATGAACAGCTCCCTGCTCTCCTTATATCGGAAAGGACATCCCGACTCTGCTTCACGGACTCCCGAGATGGATCACAGAGAAGCCACCGTCTCGGCCCCACGGACACCTTCCGGAACAGACTCCATTCCTTCGAAGACCCCTGCCGGGGGTTCAGAGGGAGGGTGGTTTATTGATAGAACTCCCGGCGGAAAGATGGACCTGGCAGGCGAGAAGAGCAAGCACAAGAAGCCAGGATCTGAGAGAGAGGTACTTTTGTAGTGATGTGTTCACGGCCCCGTTACCGCCACCGCTTCTTTCCAAGTGCAGGCCTTCTGACGGAGATGACCTTCCTCCAGATTAGTCTCCACACGCAGATGTCTTTTTACGAGTTAAGTCGGGTGGTTCCTTCGCGTATTAAGAATGACTCCGTTCAGTCTAGAATCAGAGTCCTCGCAAGTAATGGCCGGGAAAGCCCTGTGTGCGTGGCTGTCCTGCTGGCGCTTCAGTCATCTGCTGCCCGCCTCCCCGCTTCGCCTCAGCCACCGTGGCCTGGCGCTGTTTCCAGAGCACCCACTCACTCTCACCTGGGGCGTTTGCACTCATGCTTCTGTCTGAAACTCCCCCAGATTCCTGTGACTCACACCATCTTGTTTCCCTGTAATCGTCGCAGAGTCACATACTGACGTGTTAAATAGCACGTCGTGGGATGCTCTTTCCTGCCTCATCTCCTTTTGGTCAAGCCCTTGTGACCACTTAGAACTTACTGTAGAATTGTTTAGTTGGGTTTCTTCCTTGTCTTCTGTCTTTAGCTTCGGAGATCAGAACCTTTGTTTTGCTTCATAGTGTCTCCCTGGCTAAAATGCACCCAGCACGTCGTTGTCAGGCAGTTGGTCGAATTCGTGCCTGATGAACTTTCCGAGGTGCATTTACCAGCGCGAGTTAAAGAATAGGTACCTCGTGTGCGTGTTATGTTTGGAAGGCTGGTTGTTGTCAGAGGAAGGGAAGTCAGCTCGTGCAACAGCTGTGTGGTTCGTGTTGAGCCTCGGGTAATGCCTTCAGGGAGCCCGTACAAACGGGCACACCGTGAAAATGTACTGAATAAGGGACACCCTTTTTTTTTAACCTTTGTAAGTTGCAGTATACTGTACATAAAAGTGAAGCTGGATGAATTATCACAAAGTGAACACACTGGGCACCATCCTTAACTGATTTTTTTTTTTTCTTTGAGAGAGAGAGCGAGAGAGGCACACGAACGAGTGCAAGAGGGGCAGAGAGAGACAGAGAGACAGAATCCCACGCAGGTTTCCATTGTCAGCACGGAGCCCAATGTGGGGCTCCCATCTCCCCAACTGTGAGATCATGTCCTGAACCAAGATCAAGGGTGGGACATTTAACCCACTGAGCCATCCAGGTGCCCCCTTAACTGATTCTAATGCCTGGCATTAGATCCCCTAGGAGATCCCCTAGGAGAGGGGATTTACAGTGATCTGTCCCGCGATAGGCCCTGAGTATGCCCCCGGGGCTCACTGTCCAGTGTGGTAAGTGCTAGCCACCCGTGGCTCTTGAGCACTTGAAATGTGGCTAGTGCAAATGAGGAACTGAATTGTTCATTTAAATTTGTAAAATAATACTTCAGTTATTAGAAAACTTCTAATATGGGGCGCCTAGGTGGCTCAGTCAGTTAAGCGTCCGACTTCAGCTCAGGTCATGATCTCACAGTTCATGAGTTCGAGCCCCACATCGGGCTCTGTGCTGACAGCTCGGAGCCTGGAGCCTGCTTCAGATTCTTGTCTCCCTCTCTCTCTCTGCCCCTCCCCCCTCATGCTCTATCTCTGTCTCTCACAGGTAAATAAACATTTAAAAAAAATTAAAAAACAAAAAAACTTCTAAGTATGTTTGGAACAACTTGGGCATGTGAATGTACTCTTTCAGCTGTAAGTTTTATGAAGTCTAAATGCAAATTAAATATTTCCCACTAAAATTTAGTGTACAAGTTGAGATGTGCTATTAGCATAAAATACATGTTAGACTTTGGAGACTTACTATAAAAGATAATGTAAGACCTCTCAATTTTTTATACTGACTGTATGTTGAAACGATAATATTTTGAGTATATTTTGTTAAGTAAGGTACTAAATTTCACTTGTTGATTTCCCCCTTTTTTAAATGTGGCTACTAGAACATATTTAAAATTTTGTATGTGACATTGTGTTTCTCTTGGACAACACCACTGTAAGTGGTTTTCGAGAACCACTTACTTGATGTGGCAAAACCGTTCTCCTTTTGAATTTTCACTAGCCCTTTTTCAAACCTCTTTGTGTTAATCATGTTTCTAGAGGACATTATTGCAAGGTTAAGGGAATAGCTTGAGTCTTAAGTTGAATTATACTTTTTCATGGCTTTCAAAGCAGCTCTGTAGTCATATTTAATTTAGCGGTTCATCAGGCATCACATGAAGACCAACTGGTGAAAAGCTCAGTGAGAAATTAAAGGTGAACATGAGCATCTCACCTCCCGTGAAAGAAACAAGGAGAGTTGCTCAAACACAGGGCAGATTATGGTAGGCTATAATACAGTTGCAAATTCAGCGTTCTGGGAATATGGGCATGAGATTAACTCTAACGAGAAGAATCGTGTGTCAGGGCATAAACTGAGCTTTACAGCTGTGGAAAAGAAGGATGCTCTCCAGCAGCTACCATCCTGGAGCAGAGAGGTTGGGAATAGCCAAGGTAGGTGCAAGTGCCAGGGCAGAAATGGGGTATTTTAGGGCCACCTGGGTGGCTCAGTCGGTTAAGCATCCAACCGTTGATTTCAGCTCACATCATGATCTCTCTGTTCATGAGTTCAAGCCCTGCGTCAAGCTCTGTGCTGACATCGCGGAGCCTGCTTGGGATTCTCTGTCTCCCTTTCCCTCTGCCCCTCCCTTACTTATACACACATTCTCTCTCTCTCTCTCTCTCAAAATAAATAAGAATACACTTAAAAGAAATGGGGTATTTTAAATAATGACCACCTTTTTGTTTTTGTTTAAAAAAAAAAAAAAAACCCAGGCGTCCCTGGTTTTTGTTTTTTATTTACTTAAGTAATTTCTCCACCCAAACTCATGACCCCTAGATCAAGAGTTGAATGTTCTTCCAATGAGCCAGCCAGGTGCGCCTAAATAACAGCCCTCTTTAAGAAAACATTGCCATTGTAATTTCAAGCATGGCATATTTAAATTTGTTTTCTTTCCAGGATTCCAAAGACGCTTCTCTGCTGGAGAGTAATGAAAAAAGGAAAGGCAGGCTGAAGCGCAAGGGAAACAAAAGGAAGAAAGACCTTCAGGAAGTAGACGGAGAAATACAAGATGTCCTGCAGAGGAAAGGTGAGCCATGGGTCTGGGGGGCTGAACATGCTGTGAAAGAGGCTTCGCTAGTCCCAGGTGTCGTTCTGGGGGGCCTGCTGTGTGCGGTTCATGAGAAAACACTTCAGTGTCTCATGGTCTGTTTACTTAAACATTATTAAATGCAGCGCTGAGTTACTACTGAATCACTAATCTTTTTGTCTCCTCGTTTGATTGCCAGCTAAAGCCAAGGGGCTGGAATTACAGATCTCCAAGGTGAAATTTGAAGATGTTGGAGGCAGCGATACAACATTAAAAGTTAGTTCACATTCAGAATTTTACTCAGATGGTGTATTGCCAATCAGGTATTCATGGAAAGCAGCCTGGAAGGGGGGGGGGGGGGGGGGGGTGGTGAAACTTGGCCTGTACCCCGCAGGGTGCTGAGGGATAAAAGAAACAGTACCTTCCGCTTTTCCACCACTAATTACGGTGTACGTAAGGTTCATGCTTTGTAAGTAATACTGTTGTACGCAAAAAATTCTAAGAGAATACTGTGCAAAATTATATGCCAACAAACTGGGCAATCTGGAAGAAATGGAGATTCCTAGAAACTCAAACGCACTACCCAAACTGTAAGTAACCCTATTAGTTATTGTCCAGTGTCTACTCTGCCAGTTACCGTGGTGGTTACTTTCTATCATCAGTGCGAGGTAGCTGTTACCACAGCTGAGGACACGGAGGCTTAGGCAGGTTCCTGTGGAGTCCCGCCGTAGGTCTCAGAGCCGGGGCTCAAACTCATGAGTCTGCTGCTTTGCAGAACAGGTTTCCTTCCACTTGGATTCCTTCTCTCTCGGGCCGTGAAAGACCTCTTTCCTGTTTATTCCCTGCTAGGAAGTCTGCAAGATGCTCATCCACATGCGTCACCCGGAGGTGTACCGCCACCTGGGCGCCACCCCGCCGCGTGGGGTTCTCCTTCACGGGCCGCCGGGCTGCGGGAAGACCTTGCTCGCGCACGCCATTGCAGGGGTGAGCTTTGCTGACACGCCTTTGCTTCTGTTGCTTTTGTTCTGTTTGTCTTTATTTTCCTCTTTGGTCAACTTGAACCGGACTTGACGTATTCCCAGGAGGACTGATCCTCTCTTCATTTTTCACCTCTTTCATGCAGCTCTTTGTGAGATGCTATTTTTTTAATGCATCCGATTATTTATATGGCAAAGGTTGGGTGGGAAGCAAAATAATATGGCTGTAAACACCCTTTTTTTAACACACTGTGTATATTTTAGTTCCCTTTTTCCCTTTAAGCCAGTGATTCTCAAAAGCAGTAAATAAGGAAACCAAGGACTATATTGTTTTTCACAGCTAAATATACTGAAAATCTCCATTCAGAGTCATGTTCTTATACTTTTTAGTGTTAAAATAACGTTTCTGAAATGGTAATAATACTTAGTTGGCAAAATAAAGTTAGCAATCTTATTTTCATCCCATGAGTTGTTTTTGGAAACTGTTGGGTGGTAAATGCAAAATGTCCCAGTGACTTCAGTTTGAAGAATAGCGTGTCATAGTGGCTACTAATAGGTTAGGATCTGCAGGATCGGCGCTCTTACGGGACGACAGGTTTGCCTCGCTTGTTCCTCTGTTGAACAAAGTGTCCTGTGACAGGTGCATGCCAGATGCTGGAAAACAGTGATAAGTACAGAAAACCCAGATTTACGTTCAAGGAGCTTTTCAGTCTAGTAGGAGAGGCCGACATTAAGCAGCTATCATACAAGTAAACGCTGTGCACGGTCACAACAGAAATGAGTGGGAGACAGGAAGTGTGGGATGCTAGCTGGTCCCAGGTTGCCCATGGTTGAGGAAGTGATTTTCAGAACCGCTTGAGGATGAGTAGGGCTTAGGCAGGCTTATTGCCCTCCGTGCTGGTGGGGCCGCAGTGGCTGCTCCTCCTTTATGACAGGAACCTGTCCTCTGCCGACTAACTGGCTCCTCCTCTGGATGCAGGGGTGAGAAGTGCCTGTAGCGTGAGTGGGAAGGACTGTCACAACCCTTGCCCTTTCCTATAAAATTGTTCTGGCTCGGGGTGTCTGGGTGACTCGGTCAGTTGAGCGTCCAACTTCAGCTCAGGTCATGCATCGGTCTCTGTGCTGACAGCTCAGAGCCTGGAGCCTGCTTCGGATTCTGTGTGTCCTTCTCTCTCTGCACCTCCCCTGCTCACACTCTGTCTCTCTCTCAAAAATAAATAAACATTAAAAAAAAGTTTTTTAAGGAAAAAAAATTGTTCTGGCTCAGCTATAAGTCGGGGGTAAACATGTCTCTGCAGATTCAAGACCCTTTATTCAGAAGACGTAACGACAATTTCATGGTGACTCCTATGAAGTAAAAACAGGTGGAAGTATCTGGTCGCTGTGTTTGAATTAAACTGTAGATTTTTAAATAATGGTTTTCATCGGACCAACACAAAAGATGAAATTCCTCAGAAAAGAGGTCATTTTAAAAATTAAATTTTGAGGGGCGCCTGGGTAGGGCTCCGTCAGTTGAGCATCCGACTTCAGCTCAGGTCATGATCTCACAGTTCGAGTTCGAACCCCGCGTCGGGCTCTGGGCTGATGGTGCAGAGACTGTTTGGGATTCTCTCTCTCTCTCTTTCTCCTTTTCTCTGTCCACCCCCTCCCCCATGCTCTTTCTCTCTCTCTCAAAAATAAATAAACTTTAAAAAAAAATTCACTTTTGAGAGAGGGACTGAATAAGGAAAAGGGAGGGGGAAGATAAATTTTCAAAATGTGGTCATTCTTTCCTGTGTTTGTCCCCAGGAACTGGACCTCCCAATTCTGAAAGTAGCTGCCACGGAGATTGTATCCGGAGTGTCTGGGGAGTCTGAGCAGAAGCTGAGAGAATTGTTTGAGCAGGCAGTGGTGAGTCAGCTAGTGACCCACGTCGGGCTGTCGGCTCGTGCGGCGTTACGACGGAGAGCCTGTCCATCCAGGGCCAGTGTCTGTCAGCCTGGTCGCCTGCCATCCTCTTGTAAACTTGGTGATCTGTTATCTGTGATGACTAAATATTTAAAGTAGATCCACTGATACAGACTGTTGGATAATATCGTCTGTTCAGTCTGAAATCAAGTGTAACTGTAATTGGTGAAAAGTTCTGGGCTGTCACACCCAGTGGGTGTTTGCTGAAAATAGATACCCTGGGGCACCTGGGTGGCTCACTAGGTTAAGCTTCAGTCGGTTAAGCTTCTGACTTCGGCTCAGGTCATGATCTCCCAGTTCATGGGTTCCAGCCCTATGTCAGGATCTCTGCTATCAGCTCAGAGCCTGCTTGGATCCTCTGCCCCTCCCCCACTAGCGTGTGTGCATGCGATCTCTCTCTCTCTCTCAAAAAAAAATATTTTTTAAAAATTTCTTTTATGTTATTTACTTTTGAGAGAAACAGAGAATGTGAGTGGAGAATGGGCAGAGAGAGATAGAAAGAGAATCCCAAGCAGGCTGTGCACTGTCAGCACAGAACCTGATGTGGGGCTCAAACTCATGAATCTTGAGTTCAAGACCTGCGCTGAAATCAAGAGTCAGACACTTAACCAACTGAGCCACCCAGACACCCCACAAAAATAAACAAACATCAAAAAAAAAAAGAAAATACATTATCCTTGTGAGATTTTCTGTCACTTTCACTTTGCACAAATTAAGTTACCAAACAACTTGTAAGTAGTATGAAAATTTTTAACATTTAGGATTATCACATTCTAAAAACAACCATAGAAATGCCAGGATAAATTCTTCTCCTTTTGCCTAATTGAACTTGTACAAAGAAAATCTTGTTAACCAGAGAAATTACGAGACTGGATTTTTATCCTAATTGTAATTTATTTCTGAATTACTATTGAATTCACTATTTAATTACTATTAAATTACTGTTAATTACTATTAAATTACTATTTAATTCACTATTAAAATGTGGGTGTTTAGGAACATCTGGGGAAGACATTTACACCCTATTAGAACTTTATCCTGAGGATACGTGATAGTTACAGGCCTGTGCTTGCCAGTCGGAGTCATGGTCTCCAGTCCTCGTGCCTCCATGCACTGACCGCCTGGTCGTGGACAGAAGAGGTTTAACCACTGTAACCCTTAGTTTCCTTGCCGGGAAGCTGGGTTAATAACATTACTCAAGGGGTGCCTGGCTGGCACAGTCAGCTAAGCGTCCAACTCTTGATTTTGGCTCAGGTCATGAAGTCATAGACTCATGGTCTTGGGACCGAGCTTCTCCTCGGGCTCTGCAGTGACTCCTTGAGGTTCTCTCTCTCTTAGCCCCTCTCCTGCTGGCACTTGCACTCCTCTCTCTTTCTCAAAATAGATACGCTTTAAAGAAAATAATAATGCTCAAATCTCATGGCAGTTTGGGGCGTATTAAATGGGAGGATCCTTACAAACCCTCAGTGGCCTGCCCAGCTCATGGCAGATGCCCCATAGATGCTGTGACATTGTGCACACTTGAGAGTCACTAGTTGTCACTGTAGTTAAAACTAAGAAAAAGTGAAAAGATCAACTTTATGTCATTATTTGCACCCAGAATATGTAAAGGTTGTTGAACGTGGCCAGTATAGAAGCTGGTAAGAAATTAGAAGAGAACTTGTATTTTAGCAATAATTGAGAAAATATTTTTTTCTTTCTAAGTTTTTATTTAAATTCCAGTTTATGATGGCCTTTTGTGGTATTTTTATTTCCAGTCAAATGCACCCTGTGTCCTCTTTATTGATGAAATTGATGCCATTACCCCCAAAAGAGATGTTGCTTCAAAAGATATGGAACGAAGGATTGTGGCCCAGCTCCTAACCTGCATGGACGGTCAGTTTAAAAAATTACGTTCATTTTTTTTTTTTTTTAATTTTTTTTTTTTTTTCAACGTTTATTTATTTTTGGGACAGAGAGAGACAGAGCATGAACGGGGGAGGGGCAGAGAGAGAGGGAGACACAGAATCGGAAACAGGCTCCAGGCTCTGAGCCATCAGCCCAGAGCCCGACGCGGGGCTCGAACTCACGGACCGCGAGATCGTGACCTGGCTGAAGTCGGACGCTTAACCGACTGCGCCACCCAGGCGCCCCAAAAATTACGTTCATTTTAAGATGATAAATTGTGTTTCTTTTACCAGTGTAAGTAACATGTGAGGACATGAGCCATTCAGGTAGAGTAAAGCTGAGAGTAAAAAATCCTTTTCATAAAGAATTAGATCATTAATTTTTTGGAGTGCATCTGACGGTTATTTTAATGCATTTATACACAGAAATATACTGACATTGTTTTGCTTCTTACAATGCTGAGATCGCACCATACACCTTGTTATATATAACCTGTTGTTTGCATCTTTTTTGTTTATTTATTTTGAGAGAGAGACAGAGCATGCAGGCGCATGAGTGGGGGAGGGGCAGACAGAGAGGGGGTAGAGAGAGAGAGAATCCCCAGCAGGTTCACGAGCCATGAGATCATGACCTGAGCTGAAATCAAGAGTTGGACACTCAACCGACTGAGCCCCCCAGGCGCCCCTGGTTGTTTGTATGTTAACAGTACATGTGGGAAATGTTGCTGTTTCAGTACCTTTGTGTTGGCCTGCTTGACTGCTACGGGGTTCTCTTTAGGACAGAGTTCTGCTGCTCGTCCTCTTGGCTGCGGGCGTTAAAACCCACATGCCTCAGCAGTGGGATCAGCTTTGCTCCCATCCCGGTCGCAGCCCCAGGGGCGTTCAGCGCGCGCAGAGCGTCATCACGTGAACGCGCGTGTGCAGCTCATGATGCTGCCTGAAGTATTAGGTGCCACCTCCCTTCCTGTACTTTCTTTTGCTTGTGCAGTGACCTCATAGCATGAACCTCTTCCTTGAGCTTTTATGCAGTTTTCATCAAGTATGTAAGAGCCTTCCTGTGTCACTGAAACCTCCCACCTTGTGTCTCTCTTCTCACCCTGAGGTTTACCAAAGGCATAGTCGCTGTCAAGTAAACATGTTTGTATCCTGTTCCACCCTGCACCTCACCCATAACTCCACGTCCGCCTCTGCCATCGCACTGAGGCGCATCATGGAATGATCGTGGGGCATCCCAGCGCTGACCTCTCCAAACCTTTGTTCTTTAGTTTCCTCATCTATAGACCTACCTGTTGCGGGTGTGGTGGGGCCTGGCCAAGGGCCACTGTGCCCTGGTGCCTGGCAAGCAGTGAGTGCCAGGTCAGCTCGGTAGTTCTCGACAGTGTTCGATGTGGCCAACCCCCTCGTCCTGGTCGTCGTTGGCACAGGTGGCTGGAGCATGACCGTTGTCTTTCTGGCGGCCCCCTGGCTCTCCGGCCCGTCCTCACCGGTCCCCTTCCATGCCTGCCTGCTTCCCCCCATCCTCTATACAGAGGTGCTCTGTAAGGTTTCCCACTCAGTCTTCTCCTTGCCTTCTACCCATCTCCCAACCGTCTCCTGTGCAACTCTTCATGAGACACAAATTTCATCTGTAACCTCGATATCTAAGAAGCCTCCCAACACCTGTTCCCGGCTGCCTGCGAGATCCGTCACAGTTTGTGTGTCCCAGGCCGGACCCTCTCCCCCCGTCGCCCCTCTGCCTTTCCCTCCCATTTCTGCGCTCAGCCAGCAGTACCCCCTCCCTCCTTATCGTCCACAGGAGGCCCTCGTGTCTCTCCCTTCTCCGTGCCCTCCACTGTGTCTGCAGCTGCCCTGGAATTGGGTGTTTCCTGTTTCTTCCCCACCTTCTCTCCTCTCGCCTGATGGCTGTGATCAGACCGCAATAAGCTCTTCCCTGTATTCCTCTTTACTCTGTTCAAATTACCATCAGAATTGTCTTCCTGAAACACAAACCTTATCAGAAAAACCCTTTCCTGGCTTCCTGTTGGCTAAGGGATATTCTACAAGTTTCTCGTGTCTTGGATGTCAGAGTACTTACTTAGCGTCTTACTCCCTTGTTACCCATGAGGAGTGTGACCTCAGACTCCCCACCGGCCCACCTGGGTCCAGTTGAAGGCAGTAATCCAAAGGAAGGGTACACGTGGGGCCGCGTGGTCCGTCATTCCTAGAACTGTCTAGATTGGGCCAGAGCAGCGCAGACGGTAGCACGCCCCGTCTCCACGCCACACGTCTGCTGTGAGACCGCCACTCCTCATTCCTGCCAGACTCGGCTGCTGGGCTGCTCCCACACGTGTTCGTGCCTCCGTGCTGTCGCTCACACCGTGTCGTCACGTGGATTTCGTCAACGCGTGTCCGCTTATTAGCGTCCTTCCTTGTCCTTCAAGGCTTTCCCCAAACATAACCTCCTCTCTGAATCTCCCTCGGTCCTCCATCAGAATCTGTGCTCTCTTCCGTCGGATTCCTGTGTTGCTTTGTTTATACCTGTTACTGTGTCACGGAATTTGTCCCGTGGCTTTCTCCGTAGGTTGTGAACTTCTTGAGGACAAAGTGTCTGTTTTCTTTACAGCTTTCGCATATTAGACAATTAGTAAATGATAGCTTTATGTCCATACTGCTGGCAAAATGTGAACTACTCTCTAGCCACTTAAACCACTTCTGTGAACGTGATCGTCCTCCGTCCCTGGGGCCTTATCCACCATTCATCCTGTGTCTGCTTCTTACTAGATCTGAATACCATGGCTGCCACCGCTCAGGTCCTAGTCATTGGAGCCACTAACCGCCCGGACTCATTAGACCCTGCTTTGAGACGTGCAGGAAGGTTCGACCGAGAAATATGCCTGGGTATCCCAGATGAAGCATCCAGGGAAAGGTACACTCTTCGTATGTCACAGGTCATCTGAACTGAATGTTTTGAAAACAAGAGGTGACAAAAACCACGTAGCCTTTTTTTTTCTCTTTGTTCTTGTCCCAGTAACCTTGACCTGGACAGGAAAAGGCCCTCTTTAAATTAGTACTTAAGAAACTAATGTGCTCGTCAATAACAGGGCCATTGTTTCAGGCTGTTTTCCCAGTAGTGATGGTGGATGTATGTGTGTATACCCCTTGGTCTGGTCCTACTGACGGTGGCTGGTGTCATGGAGTCTGCAGATCAACGTAGGGACAGTGTGGGCAGCTGGGGAACAGAGTGTGCTCACTGGCCCACTTGTCAGTTGCATTGACCACTAACCTGCCTAAGACCACAGGTTTCCTGACAAGGCAGCTGGAGAGTTGTAAGTGAAAGCTGTCTGTGTATTTTGCAGGACCAGCCTTTCCTAGTAATGGGGGTTGAGCGTCTGGAGAGCAAAGAAATCGCTGCCAGTGTCTCAATAAGCAAGGAAGGTGTGGGAGGCACCGTTGAGGCAGCGCATAGAGGTCTGATAAAGGGTTTTTCTGTAACGCCGTGTCTGTCGTGGCTTTGGGCTTAAGTTTGTGGCACTAAAATTGGTGTATGTGATTCGAGGAGTGGGTGGCATGTAGTGAGAAGAAACAGTCCCAGGACGGTGACGGAGGGAAGGGGTGACAGGCAGGAGGCTTCGCGGAAGTAAACGTGGCTGTAAGGCACGTGGTGGGAGAGAAGGTTAGAGAGAGTGGGACAGGAGCGCATCGACCTTCCTTCTTCCCCGTATGTGATGTGCTTCAGCTTCTGCTCGTTTGCAGGTCCTTCCTCGGTTTCCGTACTCGGTGCAGCTCATGTGCTCCTCGTACTGCCGCATGCATGATGTTTAAACAGTCACGCAGCCACTCAGGCTTGTTGAGTGTGTTTAACCTGCCGCAAAATGATAGTTAATGTCTGAGTTGTTCCTGTTTACGCCACAAACATGTATTGAGTGTGTGGCGTGTGCTGGTACGTTCTGGAAGGCGTTGTGAGGAATATGAAGAGTGACGAGTTCTTGCTTTCCAGAGGCCTGTGTCCTTTATGGAGCCTTTTTCCTCCTGTGCCCACCTTCCGTAGAGAGAGGGACACGTGGGGCCCGTCTTCGCTGCTAGACAGGACCCTTCGTTCATCCACCCAGCATTCCCTCATCGACAGAGTCCTTAAAAGGCTTCTGCTGAGGGCCACGGTTTGAAAAATATAAGCCTATAGAAAAGTTAAAGGAATAGTACTATGAGTATATGCACACCCTTCAGCTGGGGGCACCACTCACTCGCACACCCACACCCCCTTCCAGTCTCTGCAGAAAACCTACGTATATTTGTGTGCATGTGTGTGTGTACCTTTTTTTTTTTCCAAGCCATTTGAAGACGGAGGACAACAGGATGACGCTTCAGCCATAAGTGCTTCCCGGGGTGACTGTCACTCCATTTCACACCATTTCAGGAAATTTAACACTGACGCAATGATACTAACATACGGTCTGTTCTGATTTTCCCAGTTGCCCCTAAAATGTCCATTTTAATTGCTTTCTTCTTGATTTTGTGTAGTTTTGTGTTTCATGTGTCATCCATTCTGGGATCAAACCTGCTGTTTAGTCAATGTGACCCTTTAACCTTAACCTGCCTCTTCAGGGAGGAAGTGCTTTCATGACATTGACATCTCCCAGGTGCCTCATAGTTTAAACTTGCCTGACCGTCTCTTCCTGATGGGACTCAGCGTAGGCATTTTGGGCAAAATACTGCCTGGGTGGTGAGGTGTCCTCAGCGTCCTCTCAGGAGGCTCCGAGTGTTCCTTTGTGTCATTATTGGTCCTGTTAAGTCCGGTCACTCGGTTGAGAAGTTTGTCAAGAGTTTTCTCCTCTAAAGGTACCTTTTTCCTTTATTCTTAACGTAATCCAGATATTTCTGGCACCAAAGGGTGTTTATGGCTGCCTGTTGTCAGTTTGTCCAAATTCCATGTGAGACTCTGCGTGAGGTCTGTTGGCGTTCACATCGGTGTTTCATGTAGGCTGGGTGGCCTGGCTCAGTCACGGCGGCCAGCGCAGGGATTGTGTCTCAGAATGAAGGGGATGTTAGGTGTTCGCTGTGTTTAAGGCCAGGTGGGTAGAGTGGGGTCAAGGCCTGAAAGATGATAGCTCTTGAATATAATCATGAGTGAGAATTTTTTAAGTGAGTATATTTTAAAAAAAATTTTATTCTGGTAAAAATAAACACATAAAATTTACCATGCTAACCGTTTTTAACAGTATGGTTTAGGAATATTAATTTTTATTTACTTTGGAACAAATTTCTAGTACTTTTTCATTTTGCAATTTAATCCTGCAAAATTAACATTTGGCACAGCGGTTGGCATTTCAGTCACTTCTGAGTGATCAGAAGAACGCTGAGTACAAAAAGAAACGGGGTCTTAGGGAGGATATATCAGGCAAAGCAGACCTGGTCTGGGGGTTTCTTAAAGGATTCTCTGAGGAAGCTGAGACTTTAAGAATAATAGCAATTAACTGATAACGTGACGCTGAGAGTGTCCCTGGTAGGAGTAGCATGTGCAGAGAGGCCCTGAGGTGACTGAGCTCGGTGAGTCCAGGAACCTAGAAGAAGAACACTATGGCTGTAGAAGAGATAAAGCGTGGAAAGGCTGGCAAGGGATGCAGAAGGCAGTTCACATACAGTTGGTAAGGATTTTGGACCTCTTTGTGAGTGGTGGGAAGGAATTAAAGCAATTAATGTAAGCAAGACAGTGATGGAAACAGACTTTTTATTTGGAAAGAGATCGTCGTAGCTGCAGCATGAAGAATGAAGGGAAAAAGAGCAAGAATAGGTTCTGGTGAGCCTGCGACGGGGCTGTTATGATGCCTGGGCGAGATGGTGATGGGCTTAAGGAGATGGGCAGTAGGTGGAGATAAGCGGAGCGGTGCCTGGTGGGAGCACACAGGTGGAGCGCATCTGGAGTGATCAGTCGTTGAGCCAGTAGACCCAGTGGGTTGCATTTCTTGGCAGAAGGTACGTGTGGAAGGTGGGAGCTGTGATTGAGCAGGAAGGAATAGTCCCATTTCTATCTGTTTTTGTTTTTTGAGAGAGAGAGGGTGCAGATGAGCGAGGGGCCAGGAGAGAGGGAATCTCACAAGGGGCAGAGAGAGAGAGAGAGAAGCAGGGCTCACCCAGGGTAGGGCCTGTGCTCACGAACCGTGAGATCATGACCTGAGCCGGAGTCCAAAGCTTAACCGACCGAGCCACCTGGGCGCCCCTCAGGTTTCTGATTTGAGCCTCTGTGCTGCTGGTTTTCTCTGAGGGGACCTGGGGAGGGACAGAGGAAGTAGCGGCGGGTGCCCCACGTCCCTCTGCCTTTTCCCCCAGATTCCTAACTCATCCTAGCTTTTGTTTGGTTGCCTGTAACAAAGTAATAATAGTAACGTGCCTTGTTTTGTCTTTACAATGGGAACAGTACCCCCGCTTTAAAAGGCTTCTCGTAAGGATTGCATCAATACACCCAGCACAGCTTCTGACCCGTAGAAATGTTAAGGTTGCTCTTGGTGTTTTCCTGGACTTTGAAAGTATCTTGTTACAGAACGTTCCAGCGTACACAAAAGCAGTCTGATACAATTCTTCTAGTTTCTGGTACTGCAGAACAAGCCACTGCAAAATTTAGTGGCTTTCAGCAACAGTCATTTTATTGTCTCTCACAAGCCCTGTGGGTAGAGAATTTAGAAAGGCCTCAGCTGGTCGGTTCTGTGCCCGGCCCGGCTCCCGTGTGGTTGTAGAGGTGGCAGCTGGAGCTTGGAGCAGCCAGGCTGTGCGCGTCTGCACACCTGCCTGTCTCACCTGGCTCGGCTGCGTCTCCGCATGCCTGTCCCCCTCCTCCCCTCTCCGTGTGGCTCCCTTCACGGGACAGTTTGGGCTTCTCAGAGCTGGGCGGTCTCATAGCGTCTGTCCCGCTGCTCTGTGCTGTTGACCAGCCGCTGAGGTCAGCCCAGACTCCAGAAGAGGAGAGCCGAGAACGTACAGACATGCCTTTCAGACCCTCACGATGGTGAAGCCCGGGTCTTATGACCCAGCCACAAACAATCCTCGCCGTTTCAGTCCTGTTCTGTCTGTCCCCCATGCTTGTTCCTGGAGTGTCTAAAGCAAAATTCGGGCACCATATTGTTTCCACAATAATACTTCAGAATCTAACGGGTGAAGACTTTTTGTTTAACCTACATGCTCACTAATAATTCTTTGATACATCCGATGTCTGAACCACATCCATAGGTTTGAGGTATAAAACCATTACGGATTTTCAGTATAACCACATGTAGCGTGTTCCTGTCTCATCTGCACAGGGATTGTTCGCTGCCAGCCCAAGTCACATGTTAGGATCACACATCCTTTCTTTACCTTTGTAACTTTTCTGGAATCCACGATTGCCACGTTTTTGTCATTTACTAACCTTCTTGCAACTTTTTTCACATTCTCTGTTTCCTCCAAGTGCCTGTGCGCGGGTGTGGGTCTGTCCCTTACCTTATGTGACGGTGAGAGGCAGTAGGAAATAGCGGATGTGAAGTCGGAACAGCAGTGTCTGGTGTGAATTCTGTTGTCTCCTGTTGCTGCTGTCCTCCAATGGGAGTCCTCGTCTGAGGTTCTGTTCTAACAGCACGGCTGATAGGACATCTGCAATGTAAGCTGTTTTGTTGAAGCTTGGCCCCCCTGTAAAGCAGATGACCAGCTGACTTTTTACTTAGAAACCTCCAAGGGTCAATTTCTGAAGATGCGTTTTGTTGAGTCGATTCAGATCTTTCAGGAGAAGGTGTTGAGACCGTACCATGGGCTGTGGGTCTAGCTGCCGGTCTTCCAACACAGGCAGGCCAGAAGGATGCTGAGGAACTGTACACCGTTTTCCTGGTGGAGCGCGTGCCCAGATCTTCCCTGTTCTGCTGGCAGGCGGCGTGGGGAGGATGTGGGGTCTTAGCACGTCTCACGCACGACTCCCAGCACTTGGGTTTTGGGCTCTGCTGTGGCCCCAGTTTCCATGGTCCAGCACTTTGAGGCCTCCCGTTCCTGGTCTTTGGAGTTCGCCAGACAGATACACTTCCTTCTCGTTAGCGCACCTCTCTGAAAAAGGTTGATTCTGACTTTGTGCCCTCTCCTGGACATTTACCATTCTCTACTTCCGTTCTTGATAAACGTGGTTGGAGAGTACAGGCAGTCAGATATCTCTTGGCCTGTGCTGGTATGGATAAATGATTGACTAAACGGGTGAGAAGAGGCAAGTCTCTGGTGCAGAAGAATTCCAAATAATGTGTGTGGACGCACCGCCCTGAAGGAAGTGGACTCCCACCGCCTACCCCTAAAATGCGAGCTGGGCACGTCGACTTATTTGCAGAGTGCGGTACGGAAAAGGGCGAAGGATTACAACCCCATGGTGGAAACCCTTCCAGACACGGCGTAAGGCCTGGTGGTCAGCGTTCGCATCCCGGTGGTGAGGGGGCCGACAGTGTGTACGCTTGATGGGACCAGTGGGGACCGTGCTTCACCTCTGTCGTCTTCTTCCCCCAAATACACTGACTTAGTCTAATCACCATAAAAATAACAGACTAGTCCCCCATTGAGGGGTAATCCACAAAGTTCTGGGTCACTAATTCTCGAAACTGTCCTAATGGGAGACGGGTTTTGTGGTGCGTAGGACTCCCTGTGCTTACTGTCTGCGCAATAATTCTGTAAATCTAAAACTTCCAAAATAAAAGGTGTACTTTTAAAGAATTTGTTAAAACTCAGGGGCGCCTGGGTGGCGCAGTCGGTTGAGCGTCCGACTTCAGCCAGGTCACGATCTCGCGGTCCGGGAGTTCGAGCCCCGCGTCGGGCTCTGGGCTGAAGGCTCGGAGCCTGGAGCCTGTTTCCGATTCTGTGTCTCCCTCTCTCTCTGCCCCTCCCCCGTTCATGCTCTGTCTCTCTCTGTCCCCAAAATAAATAAATGTTGGAAAAAAAAAATTAAAAAAAAAAAAAAAAAGAATTTGTTAAAACTCATCCTGTTTATAGCCAAATATAGCATTAATCTGGATCACTTATTCTGGGAACCCTTAACAGAATCTTTTTAAGGATTTACCGACCTTAGAGCATCAGCTAGAGCTGACACAGAGCCCCGTGTTGAGAGGCCTTTCTCTTCTTTGCTAGGAAGACGTGTAAACCTCAGAACCCCCCAAACACCTGTTCTTTCAGTATCCGAGCAGCATAAGTACCTCTCCCTGTGTAATTTTTTTTTTTAACATTTATTTATTTTTGAGACAGAG